TTTTTTTTTAGTGTGTACAAAAATGGAGGCGGTAGTCCTAAGTGCTAGACTAGAACTCGGCGGGGATAAGAAACCCCGATTAGATCATGCACGAGCCAATCACCCAAACTAGAAGGAGGAGTAACCAGCATATGAAAGCCAATTGGACAAGAAGCGGCTAAACTCGCCAAATGGCCGGTCACAAAATTTGCTTCTATATGCACGTGGCGAATGCTAATAAGCCACTCCCTTTGAATCATTTGACGAATGGCCTTGACTAAGGCTTCGTGCGCCTCGAAACTACAATCGGAGCCATGTATCATTTGTAGAGCAATACACCTGCTATCAACCTCCACAATAACTCTACGAAACCCCTTATCTAATGCAAGTTGTAGTCCCTGGAAAAAGACCCCACAGTTCGGCCCTGGTGATGGTGCAGTAACCTATATGTTAGTGTTATATACTAAAAGCTTGACTTTGAATGATATTACACTTTTGCCCTTTATGAATGAGAATCATGTTCGATTAAACAAGTTCTATTTCTTTTGTTTTGCACTTAGATAGAATGGTCATCATCGGGTGAACAGAAGATCATTCTATCAGTTACTTGCGAAACAAGAATTGTGGTTCACAATTTAGATGCAAATGAACTCCCCATCAGAACGGTTGTAGTGTCAACGGTACAGTTGGTCTTGACTAGTTAGTTGCACTAGTACATTAATGTATTGAACAAGATCCCAGAGAGGATTGATCAGTCGTAAACGAATTAGACCTCGGTTAATTCTTTGTTATCTTAACCCGTAAGATATTAAACAGACATATATATGCAGTACTTATTACTTTGATTCACTTAGGTGAGGTTCGGTTCAGTTCGCTGGACTAATATTCTTATTGTCGTGGGTAATATTGTTGTATGTATGATGTGCTGTTAGGATATTTATGGTAACCATGTGCGTTAGTTTGATGATGTCCCCGAAGTGAGTTCATGAAAAATTGTTATGCTAAACCCTGCAGGTGGATTAACTTCTGGCATAATAATAATGTGATGAACAAATGCTCGCTTTGGAAATATAATATATTAATTAATTTTTGATTGTCAGTAATCGAATTATTTAATGGACATTATATCTTAAATATGGGGAAGTAATTCAGGTAATTATTATTGGAGTCTCAAATGTAATTTGGGATATGAAAGAGAGTGCAATAATATTACGTTAGTGGACCGTAATGTTGATTAAGTAATTGGAAGAGTGGGCTTGACCCACAATTAGCCCATTACTTAAGAAGTCATATTCATGTTCTTCTAAGGATCCCATACTGTAGCTTTATATATACATCACTAGGCTCATGGAAAAAGATGAAGAGATCAGAATTCTCCTATGTGTGTGATATACATCACATGCGTCTCTCTCTCTCTCTCTCTCTCTCTCTCTCTCTCTCTCTCTCTCTCTCTCTCTCTCTCTCTCTCTCTCTCTCTCTTTCTCTCTCTCTTTCTCTTTCAGTTTTCTGTTTGAGCTTTATCTTCTTCTTGTTGCTCCACCGATATAAGTTGAAGAGGTGTAAGAGTGATACAATAGAAGATCCTGGAGGTAATCGAGACATAGTGATCATCTACTGGAGCCGACGAATCTCAACCCGAAGGCCGACATCCGCCGACCCCAGCCCGTTGGATGACTGTCGCGACGCAGCCGAACCCGCCGACGGCAAGTCGCGACTCGACTGGCGACCACGCAGCCCGATGCCGATCGAACCCCGCCATCCGTTCGTGTTCTTGGTGTTTTGACGTGCTGCTTCCGGTCATCCCGAATCCGTCAGATTCAGATAAATTTTAAGCCGTAAGTTTTCTACGTCAAACCTTTAGATCCGCTGCTCATAGGTTTACGTTTGTTATTAAATTCGTGATTTGAACATAACGAGATCCTCATAGATCCCAACTCTATAGTCATAAGAAAGTTCGTAGTCCATCTACCCATCTCATCTCGAATAAGCCCACCAGCACTACTTAGCCCAGAAGAATTGTCAAAAGCGCCATCGGTATTTACTTTAACTTGAACCGATGCATATCCGCCCCTGTCTTAGCGAAAGCCATGATTGCATGCGTGTAGAATTCCAGACAGGTCAACACCACGATTCTCCTCCCCTCACAGATAAAATGAAGATATTGAAAGAGGTTGATCTTGAATTCAAAAGTGAAAAGTTGACTTTTTGTTGAAATAGTTTGACTTACTTATAAAATTAATGTTTTTAATGAAATTTAAAATTGGCTTTTATACTTTTGTTTGAAATTTAGTTTTCAAAATTAATATAGCAAGCGTAAATATTGTCATACTCTTTTGGCTTTTATCTTGCACTTTAATTTTAAGAATTGTATGTCAAAATATCACGTATCAATAAATCTATTTAAAAATAGAAGTATATTAAAAAATGGTCGACATCAATGTTGGCATACATCATCACAATAAACCTCAGAGTTTAGATATAGTCCTTTACATTAATATTAAAAATCGAATACCGTATTTTTATATTTTACATATGATATCATCATGGTGTTTAAATATTGTGTTTCTCCTTTCTCATTAATAATGGTAAAAAATAAATTAATTAAGAATTAACTAATGATAAATGCTATTTCTTCACATTGAAGATTATGAAATTAACTGAAAAATACTTATGGTACCAAAAAAGTTGTATTTTAGAATTTGGACAGGTAACCACTTTGAATTCATTATTTGAATTCATGAGCATATAGAGAGGTAAACTAAACAAATAAATATATAACTATATATGATACAAAAATATTGTATTCTAAAACTTGGTCAGCAAAGCACTATTTAAAATAAAAACAATCTTGGTCAGCTAATTGCTATTTAAATACATGACCACAACCATATAGGGCGGTTAACTAAATTACTTCCCAAACTGCTTACTTGCTTCTCAAACAATCAAGACATAGTAGTACTTTTAATACTTGGTTTCAATCGAAACAACTTATCTCATTCTCAATGTAGTTTGTGTTGTTTATGAATATCAAAAAGAAGGGTTAAGGAGAATGAAGAAAACAAAACAAAAATCAAAGTCGAGGCACATAATAATTACATTCTCCATAAGACGAAATTGCTCCGTAAAATACCCACGGTTAACGACAAACGCCTCCTAGATACAACGACTTTCAGCTTGTGTATAACTGTACTTCAAATATACAAGCCTTGGGCGAACACTACTATTGTTTGAAAATCTCAAGACTCAATGAAAAAAATCATAAACCACAGTATGTTATATGATCTTTGAAAAAATAATGCAAGAACTCTCTAATTTTCATGTTATTAATGATTTCAAGTATGTGAGTATTTATAAATGTAGGAAAACACCTCCTAGAGGTTTAAGTGTCAATAGAACCTTTTGAAATGTACCCGAACGAGAATGGATGCATCTAGAGGCTAAAAGACACCTTTTAGTCACCAAAGGTTATGACCTTTCGGTTTTCGCAGCCAACTACGTGTCCGCGCGCCGCGGGCTCGTATGAGCTCATACGGACTCAGAATCATGTTCTGTTTTTTCCTACTCGTCCCGAACGAGCGCTTCTACAATTCTAGCATACATAATGCATGATTATGACTCGTTTAATTTGTCCAAACATTCATCAAAACATAATGTTTCATGAATTCAATAATTTGAGTTACTTAAACTTATTGCTTCAACATTACATTTCCCACATATACAACTTGGTATCAATTTCTCATTCACCTTAAAATGGTTTTGAGATTTTTCTATGTCTTCCACTTGCAAAAAATGGAACCGTAAATCGGTACAAAACCAATTTTTCTTACAATCCCCCACATGAATGAAATTAATGCATGTATGGAATACTTGAGAGTCCCGACGAACCGTCATTGTATCATGATAGATAGCTTGTGGCTTTGAATCTTCCTCAATGAATACTATTGGATACACTAGCCGGTTAGTAGCGCGATGCTTTGAACTTACCGGATGTTTGTGTGCAACAAGACAATAGCACTCACACAACACCAGATCTAACAATTTCTTGTTCTCACGTTGTGTCCATTTCGGCCTTGGAACATATATCGGTTTAGTAAGCGTTTGATAGAAGCGACCTATTTACTTCTCACTTACAAAGGTGATTATCCTATAAAGAGTATCTTGCCTTACTCCACCCATAGGTATAGGAATCATTAAAAGTTCTCGACTTAACCTCACAACTTAGGCAGATTTTAACACTTGAAGGTTCTAGAAATGAGTCTAAATTTTTCAAATGTTTCACTGAACTGTCAAAACTTAGTTTTCTCGTTGAACCAAGGTTTCGGGATCTCCGATTCTCATGGTCTAGTTGTCACTAAGACCGTTCGTTTGTTGTGCATTTTTACGCTCATATCTCTAACCAGTTTGTACAATTTATCTCATTTCATGCTTTATGTAAATGGATCCGTTAGGTTAATCTTTGACTTCACATAGTCAACCGATATAACCCCCACACGAGATAATTTGTTTATGAAATTAAGTCTCCGACGTCTATGTCTAGACTTACTATTGTACAAACTACCTTGTACTCTTTCAATTTCTGATTGATAAATAATCATCACCATGAGCACAATTTATTCCATCTAGGAATATCTTTTAGAAAATTTG